TTAATCGTATTATAAAAACATGGAAGACCATTAAATATTTATTCCAGTTTAATTTTATTACAGGTAAAAGTCAGATGAAATTTTAGTGTTTACTTATACAACACTATTTAATAAATAAAAATATTTTCACAGTAAAATTTATGAGCACTAAATGAAAAAACCCAATTTTCCCCGGGTTTTTTCAAATAAAACCCAATTTTCCCCGGGTTTTTTCAATAAAACCCAGGCGGGTTGGGTTTTTTCAAAAATCCCCGGGTTTTTTCAAACCCTGATCTATTCTCGTTCTTTCTCAGCACAACAACATTTTACTAGTCAAGGCTGTCTTAGTCAATTTCTCAAAGTAAAAATTAAGAGATATTAAATACATCAATAATGTCATACCTATTAGATGTAAAGGACAACGCTCAAAACTCATTAACAGTTTTCAAATGACTTAATAATATGAATCACACACATTATTTGCAGTTATATAATAATGAACATAAATTGGTAGAAAGATAGTAAACATGTGGTTAAAAATGTAAGAAAAACTTAAAATTAATATTAGAATAAAAATCATTATAAACCACTTATTACCTTGTCAACAGTACGCTAAATCTAAATGATTATCTACAAAATATGCATCTCACTACTTTAAATACTAACACTAGCGTATACTTGCAACAAAAACAAATAGTTTTAAATAGAATAACAATAGTTTTAATGAAAGTTCTTTCTAAATACAGTAGCCATATCGCCTTCTTTCACATATCAATAAATGACTAAAACAAATTTTCCCTTCAAACTCATCAAAATAACTTAATATCACTAAAATCTTATGAAATGCAGCAGACTTGAGTTTAGAAATTATATTATTTATTTATACTAACAAAATTATTTCTGAAAATATTGCCTCTCACAATAAACTATGTAGTAAACAGTTGCAAACCTTCTAGCGAGAAGTCGTGCAGGTAATTTGTTTCCGTTTACCAACAAACGAAGCTCACAACTGGGATTTACCGCCAAAATCGAGAGGATATCGATATTGGAGTGGAGATCGCAACGCTCGAATACGCCCTCTGGGGGGAAACCAGTTTCATGTGTTTGGCCCTTTTCCCTTCCCTCTTCTCCTCTTTTCAATTGTATAGGAATGTACTACGATTTATTTAATAAATTTTCGTGAGGCTTTTCTTCAGAACTATGTAGTTTTCAGTTCCATATAGTTTTAACAAATTAAACGATTTTAATTTACATGAAAATCGAGATAGAAACCAACGTACTTCCTTCCTCTATGACTCTCCACACGAATTATCGCTAAGTCTTGTTGGGGAGAAGCTTTTTAATAAAAATCGCAGAAAACTACCAACTCGAAAGCTGTAGCTCATAGCCACCCCTGGGCAAACACACACATCTGCATTTTTTTTTTATCTGTAAGTTTAAAATTTTTTTATCTGTAAGTTTAAAATTTTTTTAAATATGTAAGTATAAAATCTATTTGGCACCTTAGCGATTGTAGTTGATGCGACAAATCACGATACGGAAATATCCCCTTAGAATTTATAAATTATAGATAGCTTTTATGAATGGCATGTAAGTAGGTATTTAATTAACGTCGCAATAGAGCTGCACAATGGGTTATTGGCGACGGTCTGGGAAATATCCCTGAGGATGATCTGAAGACAAGCCATCGCAATTTTGATACGCTGAAAAGGGAATGGCTCCTCTGCTTTTTTAGCCCGACGAACTGCGAGCGAAGTCAATCACTTTACGGTAGAGCAGTTTAAAGAGGACCGTTACCACACATTCTCGGTGCATACGCAGACCCTGACTAAGGTAGGAGCATACGGGGCAGTTGCCCCGAACCCCTACATTAGAGGGGACATCCAAATCGAATAGAAAGTTTATTTTACGTTACATTCTTTAATGAACTTTTTTAAAACAAAATATCAGTGCAGCGTAAAACCCAGCAGTTTTATGTTAGCTTCTTCATTAATCTATCGTATGAACACAATTTATATTTCATAGCTCTCTAAGGCGGAATTCAGCTAAATTTTCGCAATTACCATTGACAAATTATGCCAATCAAAAGCCTGTATTTCTACATACAACAAGATGCGATATTTTTACAAAAATACAGGCATCTGATGGGCTTAATTGAGCCATCGTAATTGCGTAAATTTCGTCCTAATGTCAGCAAGGATATGAATTTTCCCCTGCTAGATGGCTAAGTTAACAATCAGAAAACTGCAATCGGCATGATGCACATAGAATTATCAGAAAATCAATAAAATGGACCATTAGAGGGGAGGGACTTCATAGCTGTTTTTGGTTCTATATAGTTAATTTTCTTGTTATCCTTTACGGGGGGGGGATTTAAATACATCAAAGTTAAATACCTTTAAATTCCTCCATTTTAAATACCTTCATTAATGAAGTAGAGGGGCCCCGAAAGAAGTTTTTGCCCCTGGCCCCAATTACTCTTAGTCGAGCCCTGTCCTTACACAGACTGATCAAAGTGCTCACCCTCCCGTTTACTGCAGCCAGTGATGCTTGACTTCGGTGTTTTACTGGTCTTATGAATGGTAAAATTACCCGTAACTTTAAACCCAAATAAATCACATTAATAAAATAAAACTTCCTAGAAAATTAAGCCTGTTAACACATCCCCTCGAAAGCATAACATAAACTGAGGGATACACAGGAAGTAATCTAATTTTTTTTTCGGTTTTAGGAAGATGGTTATTGTTTTTATTCAGTTAACCATCCATATAGCCTTACTGAGGGTAGCATTTCATGTTTTCCTGCAGATTGAGGTCAGGAGAAAGGACAGGTCATTCATCACCTGCTCTCTATTATTCAAAAACCAATACTTTGAAGAATTTTTGTGTAGATGACGGCATTCTCTTGCTGGAAATTTCTTTGTTGATAAACATGAAACTCCTTAACTTTTGAATATTTGAATGAAAAAAAAAATTCTCAAATTTAAATAAGGGATTTGCGCATGTAGTACTTAAAAAAACATTGTTATACGCAATTGCATAATTTTCTGAAATGTTTTATAATTATCTGAATGTGAAAAATTTTCAAATATGAAAAATTTCTACAGTACAGTGCTAAAAAAATCATCTGTAGAAATCGCACTTCAGAATATTGGGATAATTATGCCTAGTTAAAAATAAATTTCCAAGCAGCCGTTTTCGTAAATTTTTAAGTATCTCAAGAATTATTATCGACCCATTTCATATCGAAAGGTACACTTTTCAATTGGAGATCGAAATGGGCTACTGGTGGCGCAAAGCAGAACTCTCTACTTATGGCGACACTTTTCATGCTTTCATCATTAGTGAGTGGATAGTCATAGGAGAAGGAAGTACGTTAGTTTTCGTCTTAATAATCAAATAGATTGAATTTTTTAATATTAGGATACTATATGGAACATAAAACTGCACTAAACATAGTTCTTAAAGAAAGCATCTTGGAAATTTTAAAAGATATTTTTGACAATTAACTGAGAGAACACACATTTTTATCACCCCAAAAACTCAATGCGTATAAAATAAAGCATTTTTAAAGCATGCATAATTTCTAAAAAAATTTAGATGATAACCAGTAGCAATCCTATAATAATTTTCCAAACCAAGAATCTAATTAAAGTAATTAAATTTAAAAAAAAAAACATAAAGGTATAACAAATAAAATAATCTAAAAGGTATGAATTATTTCGTCAAACTAAAGTCAGTTATTAAAACATTTTTTAAATACACATCAAACATAACCAGTTTAAAAGTTGCTGTCCCATATTTCTGCGTAATTCTAAACTCTTTCAATTTTATTGCTTAATTTAACTAATTATAAATACTAAGCAGAGTTGGTGGTGATCAAGCATATTTAGAGACATTCTGACATAGAGTTAAGTATCAAAAAACTTAATTTTAACGTAGAAAAACGGATTTCGGTGGACTTTTTAAGTTTTTTTGGTGATAAACTATTCAAATTGTATTGGTGTTTGCATGATATTCAATCACTATTTGTAGAAAAAAAATGCACACTTTTTACAAGAGAAAGTATTTATTTTAAAATATAAATAATGTAATGTTTATTCTTAGTTGCTTGAAATGCAAATTTATAAAAAGTTAGATTCACAAGGACCCTCTGAGCGCTTGAGGCTCTCCGGCACTGCACGGGGGTGCCCAAGCGTGGAGACGGTACTGAAATTTGGACATATTTTACATAAGAAAAAAAATTATTCTGAAAAAGCAGTAAAACTGGCATTCCAGGAACATTCCTTGACCAGTCCCATTTACAAATTAAGGAATATAGCAAATATATTTCCATGAATGAAATAGTTCTTATATCTATCTGCCAACTTTGATTTTTTTTTCTACAAATTTCATACTTGACAATCTAATAAGAAGCTTGTAAAATTATTTTTATCTGGCGATCTGGCAGACCAAGGAAGAGTTTGACAAGCTTGCAGACAGTTCATAGCAACACGTACCGTATGTGGTATGGCATTGCCTGCTGAAAAACCAGCCCAGGGCGCTGCAAAAGGAACCGTAGCAAAACAGGTCATAGGATGTCGTCAACGTACCGCTGTGCAGTAAGTACCTCTAATGACGACCAAAGGGGTCCGGCTGTCACTAGAAATGGCACCCCAGACCATAATGCCTTGTTGAGGGCTGGTGTGGCGTGCAATAGTGAAGGCAGGATCTGCCCTGTGCGTCTCCAAACACGTCTTCGATGATCGTCAGGACACAGTTGGAAGCAGGACTCGTCGCTAAAGACTATACGTCCCCAGTCGGCATCATTCCAGCCATATCTGTTCAAAACATTCATGCATACGAAATTTNTTACTGTTTATTCTAAGTGCAAGCCGTGCACCAACATACATTAGTGTTACTATATTGTTCGAGCAGCGTGATTAAGTTCAATTAACAAATTATCATTATGATTTGAATTTCGATACTGGTATATTGTTAACAATGTAAGAAGTGTCTTATAACGAATTTTTTTTTCAAATGACAATTCTTGCATCTTGAAATGGCGGGTCTCCAAAAGTCGATTCTTATAGTGATTCCTCTTTTAAATACAAATATTAAATCAGGTAACAAATACACGTATACAAAAAATACTACTCAAGCGAGTCTCAAAACACAATGATCAATGAGTCAAATGGCCTCAAACCACACCATAAACAGTAACCCGGAAGTATAGGCAGTCAAGAACTTGCAGCGCTCCCTAGCGTATAAATAACTATCTATACCAACAAAATCATCTTCAGAGCTGTCGTGAAAGCGGGGCATTTGTCCAGGGTCCAACATTTCTAGGACCCAATAGGTACTCAAGACGATATTTTAAAAAATAATAATAAGAGTAATTTTAATTTTTTTAAATTTATATTTACCATTGAAAACTTTGAAAAACTTCCTAACTATTGAAACATTTTGGATAATTATTTCAACGATAAAAATTTTAATGATAGAAAAATAGCATAAAACTTGAAGAAAAGAAAGAAAAACAAAAAATGCTGAGTTTTTTGTTCTTAGAAATAAATAAAGGAAAAAATTATATAAACTGATTTTCATAAATTTTCCAACAAAAGTTAATACGAGAATGGACTCGCGAAATACTCAGTTCCCCAAAAAGTCTAACGTCGGAGGTGACCATCTGAAAAGATAATATTTCACTAAAACTATTTTTATATTACAATTTTATATTACAACATTTTTATTACAACATTTATATTACAACATTTTATATTACAACATTTATATATTACAATCTGAAAAAATTTAGTTCACCGATACCCTCTGAAAGGGTTTTGATACTCTACTACGACAATCCGTATTTTATTATAACTGTTTATCAGGGTTATATTCTACTAAAATTATCGGAAAAGATTTTATTCTACTAAGACAATCAGAATGAATCATATTTTACAATAACCATTTGACAGAATTATATTCTACTAAAACAATCTAAAGTTATATTTTAAGAAGCCGTTTGAAGGATTCTGTTTTAATAAAACCAACTTAAAAAAGCATTTTTTACCAAAAGCATTTGAGAAAGCATAAGAAAAACATGCTAAAAAATTATTATTTTACTTTATCGGCACAAAGTAATCATCATTTTACTAAAAATATTCCTTCAAATTTTAAAAGTTCTCAAATTCCACAAAATTTAAAAACTGGGTAATGTCAAGCTTATTTTTCAACAAATGATTAACTTCTTAATAATTAGTCAATGCAAAATATTGTGATCTTCATTTTTATCAAAACCACCAGAAAATTTTAATTATTTTTCTAAGGGTTACAAAAAATTAAATTGAGAGATCAAACAATATATGACTTGAAATAGAATTAGGAAATTATGTAAAGGCGGCTTTGAATAAATTTTTCCAACCCACCTTTTCGTTTATAGAAGATTTAGCGAAATTTACATTCAGAATACGCATTACGTCTGTAATGATTCCTTAGAGCTCAGGAGTTAGAGGGTTCGCCTTCTAATGAGGTGAACCGGGTTCGAATCTCAGCGATGACAGGTCGATATGAATTCCACACCCTGCTCGCGCCGACCACAGTGCTGACGTAAACTATCATCTGTGGTAGACGGATCTTGGGGTAGAGTCCCCTTGTCGTCAAGCTAACCGTGGGAGGTTTACATGGTTTTCCTCTCCATGTAACATAAATGTGTGTTTGTTTCATCAAAGAAGTCCTCCACGAAGGCAAATATCTCCTAATACTTGATCCCGGAGTCTAGATTGGGTTCAAAATTACAAGACTACGGAGTTGAGCATTAGAAGTCTTAAACCTAAATTGCGTCGGCTGTTCAACAACGGTTATAAAATAAAATGATTCATAAGAAATGTTATGAAACATTGCAAAACATTAAACACTATTTTTTTGAGATTGCAATTATTAATTTTATTCTCAAGAGCCCCGGAGACCTCTTGCGGAATTATACAAATTTGGAGGTTTGTGACTATCTTCACCCCGACCTTACGTTTTTTCAGAACTGAAACAAAATAAGTATTACACGAAAGACTCGGTCATCCTTTTGAAGGAACGATATTGGAGCAATTCATCTTAATTCGTCTGCCCCACGAATCTGCATCGGCGAAAAAAGAATCACAAAACCAATTTTTTTGATCAAGAGCCAAGTCCTTCCCAAATGCAAATTCTCTACGTTTTACATATTATTCAGAATACACGTTTTGACTGAGTTTATTTAGGCGGCATAACTGAAGTTATCTGTGTTCAGACACAACAATCACGTATCAAACTTTTTCAGTTGTGGAGCATCTCTGCAAATTTTTAGTTGTATCTCGCGGCAGCTATATACTGTATATTTAATACAGAGATGCCAACTTTCCAATACTAGCCACCAATGTTTATAAAGAGTTAGCGTTTAGAAAAATCAAACTAGCGCAATTATAAGGTTTATAAATTAGTTCTATGTAGGCATACAAAATTATGCTATTAAATAAAATAAAAATTTAAAAGAGCTGCATATAGATAATGGAGCAATTGAACCACTAAACACTTTTGCTCACAGCAAAATGTATAGTGGTTGATGAATATTTTATTTTATAACCGTCGTTGAACAGCCGATCCAATTTTTTGAGTTTACGACGACAAATGCTCAATTCCGTAGTCTTGTCATTTTGAACCTAATCCAGAAGACAAGGAAACTCCTGGATCAAAGGGAAAAATTTGGCTTCGTGGAGGACTTTTCGATGGAACTAACCCGCATTTGTGTTACATGGAGAGGATGACCACGAGAACTTCCCATGATTAGTCCGACGGCAAGGGCACTCTAACCCATAATACGTCTACCACTAAGGATATTTTACGTCGGCATTGTGATCGGTCCAAGACGGAGGCGGGATAACGAACAGCCATCGCTGGGATTCGAACCTGGGTTCACCTCATTGAAAGGCGAACAATCTACCCCCTGAACCATCAAGGCTCTGATGAACATTTGAGTTAAACTCTTTCCTAGATGGCGATAAAATAAAGTCCTAGAATAACATAGGAAGATGAAATAATTGCTTTTCCTTATTTCTTGATTTTACCAAACCTTTCTTTTATTCATTTGTTTTAGAAATATTTAAGGAGTACAAAAAAAGTTATTGTAGATCAGTTGCAAACTAAACAATTTCATAACTCTCGATAGTTAAGAGGATTATTTTAAACAGAAACATAAAATTATTTTAAACAGATTATAACAGGAATTCTCAAAAACCGTAACTCTTAATACTCAACAGATACTGTTATCTCGTCTGTAAAATTGAAAGTGGCCCAGGGAATAGAACGCTCCGAACGCAGGGATAGAACGCTCGCCTCCCAATGAGGCGACCCGGGATCAAATCCCAGCAATGGTTAGAATTCGAATTCCGCACCCGTCTCTCCCCGACCACAGTGCTGATGTAAAAATATCCTCAGTGGTCGACGGATCATGGGTTAGAGTCCAGATTAACAGTGGGAGGTTTTCGTGGTCTTCCTTTCTATGTAAAGCAAATGCTGGTTAGTTCCATCAAAAAGTCCTCCACGAAGGCAAAATTTTTTCCAATACTTGATCCAGGAGTTCCTGCGCTGACAATTCAAGTTTCAATGAAAGGAAGAACGAATCGAAATTTTATCATCAAAATTATAACTATAGTCCGACTAACTAGAGTTCTCAAATAGCAAATCCAGCTCTCAGACTGGGTTACAAGACACATAACATTAGTTTCCTCGATGCAAATTTCAATCGTTTATCGAAATATAAACGAAATATATCGCCATACTGTCATTTATCAATACATTGTTTTAGCAATCAGGACAATACAAGTTTTATTCCATAACATCATTATCATCATAATTGGTCAGACACTCCAATGTGGGCCAATGCCTTTCTCTGAAGATTTTTCCACGACGACTTCCGACTCATCTTTGATCTCCAATTCGTTTCATTAATTGCAAGAAAATCAACATTCCTCACTTTCTTATTCCAGTGGGTCTAAGAAGCGGTATCTTTTTTATTGTATTGTCATCACTCACTCGAATCACGACGTGGGCCATCCGATTCATTTATTGTTATGTATTTAATAATATCGGGTTGTGTTTATAAATCTTGTACAGTTCAAATTTAATATCTTTTTCCGGTTATTTTTATTTTATTTTATAACAGTCGTTGAACAGACGACCCAATCCTGGGTTTACGACTACCTATTCCCAACTCCGTATGCTCGTAATTTTGATCCCAATCCATAAGACAAGGAAGCTCCGGAATCAGTACACCCAAACATATTGATTTGTTATGGGAACTCGGAGGACTTTGTGACTCCAAAAGATTTAACAAGAATCAGTCACCATTTACTACATGGGGAGACTTCGCCGGGCGCCCAGGGCCCATGGCGACATGGGCCCAGTACCCTACCAACCAGGCGATCCCGGCCCTTCCCCAGTTGTTTTCATTTAAACTACCGAATGTACTCCGCAAAATTCGATAGAAATACTACAGTAATAGTTACCGCTATTTACAAAATATACCGTCATGTTGCCACAGGACATTTATCGTAAATGAAAATTT